GCTTTAAGACTTGGATTTTATTCGATTTGTAGGCCGCCCTATTCCCCGAAGGGACTCAGGGCGGCTAAAAAACCGAAGGGGAAGGGAATAATACAGACAAAAAGCAATAAAAGCAGACAAACAAAATACAAAAACAAGTTAAAAGCAGTCAACAGCCACACAGTTCGAGTGGGGATGGGAACTCATCAGCCCCAGGCCTGTCGGAACAGCCAGGTTTTGACGGCTTTGCGGAAAGCCTGAAGGGTGGTGAGGGTCCGGATCTCCACGGGGAGATCGTTCCAGAGGGCCGGAGCAGCCACAGAGAAGGCCCTCCTCCGGGTGGTCGACAATCGGCATTGGCCGGCGGATGGAATTCGGAGGAGGCCTAATCTGTGGGATCTAATCGGTCAATTGGAGGTAATTGGCAGCAGGCGGTCTCTCAAGTACCCAGGTCCGATACCATGAAGGGCTTTATAAGTAATAACTAGCACCTTGAAGCGTATCTGGAGACCGATAGGTAGCCAGTGCAGCTCATGGAGGATAGGTGTAACGTGAGTGTACCGGGGTGCACCCACAATCACTCACGCGACTGCATTCTGGACCAGCTGGAGTCTCCGAACACTCTTCAACGGCTGCCCCATGTTGAAGCTGGAGGTGACAGTTCTGACAAAGTTCTCAGTTTACAAATGTAATTTTTTTTATTATTACTACACCCATTTTATTTTGGTCACATTGTACATTTAGAATTTGCAGCTCTAATATGAACAACCGTGAAATCAAAGGGCATCCTTGCCTCGTGAAAATACCTTGAAAAAATGTTTTGGAGATAGACGTGAGAAGGTTCTCCAGATCTTCTTCCCCCCCCACCCCCCATTCCCACCTTAAATGGTTAAACCAAAATGGGGACATAGGAAAGAAGGACCTGGGTGGGAGAATCCCAGAGACCTTGACCAATTGAGCCATAATGAGATTGGCAATTACACAACCCCTCGTTTGGGAAAACAAAGTTGTTGGTCTGTACACAAGGATAAGCAGAGAAAGTAAGAAGGAAACCTGGTTTTTCCTTCACTGTCTTCCTGGAGATGCATCTTCCTTCTCCTGAGTGCCCAGAAGTTTTTGTAGGGCCCCTTTGACCTCCTTGTTTCGGAGGCTGTAGATTAGGGGGTTCAGCATGGGGGTGACGATACAATAGAGGATGGAGACCAGAGTGTCCATGCCCAAGGAGTAGCCCGCACTTGGACGGTTGTAATTCAAGTTGATCATCCCATAGAAGAGAATGACGGTGACCAGGTGGGCACCACACGTGGAGAAAGTCTTTCTCCTTCCACTGTTAGAACGGATTTGCAGAATGGAAGATAAGATGTAGACATATGAAATGACAACGAGGAGGAAAGGACACAGCCCTACAAAGATACTTGCTGTGTGAAGAGCCATCTCATTGACATAGGTGTCACTGCAGGCAATTTTCAAGAGTGGGGGGACATCGCAGAAGATGTGATGGATCTGGTTGTTGCCACAGAAGGCCACATCGGTGGCCAGTGCAGTGTGAAAAATAGAGTCAATAAGACCCCAGACCCATGAAGCTGTAGCCAGAGGGACTCGAACCCACTTACCCATGAGTTGAGCATAGTGCAAAGGTTCACAGATGGCCGCATAGCGGTCGTAGGCCATCACGGCCAGCAGCGCGCATTCAGTTCCCGCAAAGGTCATGAGGAAGAACATCTGGGCCATGCACTCGTTGTAGGAGATGGTGGGTTGTTGGCGCAGGAGGTTCACCAGGATGTTGGGGAGGGTGACTGAGGGATAGCAAATGTCTAAGCAGGACAGATGGCTGAGGAAATAGTACATGGGACTGTGGAGGCGTGAATCCACCTGGATCAAAAGGAGTATGACCGAGTTGGCCNGAGAGATGGAATACATGGCCAATTGTTGGGAGGGAAAAACACAAGCCACTCGGTCTTGTCTGGATTGAGTGCAAGCTTGTTTGGGCCCAGCAGTTTACTTCAAAAATTTCAGTTACTGTGAAATATGGAAACAAGAATGGCAATGCCAGTTTGATACTAATTCAAAAAAGAACAGAATTGCCTCCTTAATGGCTCATGTATCCTAGAAAATAATGGAAAGATGAGAATTTTCTATGGTAAAACAAACAAGCAAACACTTTTCTATAAAAAAATTAAGCACTAAAACTTTCAGCCAAAATTGTTAATATTATTATCTAATTGATTGTGGCGAGAGGCATTTTTAAAATTTAAATGTTTTTATAGTAGATCAAATATCAAACACGTACATAGTCCCTCACACTTACTATCCAATTCAAGATCGTTACAAAAGTGCATATTTTGTAATTACAAACATATAAGATAGTTCACGTGTTAACAATATTAACCAGTTTTAAAATATATTTTTGCTGTTGGTAGTATAAAGTTTTCCCCTTTTCAAGAATACATAAGTGTTGTGTCAGGGCTGAGGATGGAAAAATGTTGCTTACTTAACCCCATGACCTCCTTTTCATTCAAAGGATCAAGGGAGGAAAGGATAGGAATTAAGTCATGAAGTGATTTGATACCAAAAGACTGATTTGGTATCAAATCCAGTAGAATGGACATTATATAACCAGCTGCTACCATAATATGTTCTCAAAACATATTAAATTCCTTATGATTAACATAATTTGGGGTATTTATCAAAAACGTTCCAACTATACTAATAAAGGAGAATTTTTGTAACTTGGGGTTGACGTGAAGGATCCTTGTTGCTCTCTGAGCTTGTTTGTTTTCTTGCAGACATTTCATTATCCAAACTAGGTAACATCATCATCAGTGCTACTTAGGAGTGTTGTTTAGTGTCAGTTTATATTCTAGTAGCTTGCCTGTCAGTGTTGGTGGAGATGATCTTAGAGATTCTTTGACTGGGCTGTTTGCTATTGCCTTCTTTGGCGGTTTCTTGATTGGGGTATTGTTTACTTGATTGTTGGTCTGATGTTAGTTAACCTTGGAGTTAATCTATGCTTATCTGGGGTGCTGATTGCTGTTGATTGCTTTTTGTTTCCTTTTGGGGTGGGTGATAGTCAGGGGTGGGTTCCGGATTCTTTTACTGCTGGTTTGCTCAGGGATGCACTTCTGGTATGAGCACTTGATGCGCGCTATACTCGCATACACAGTAGTAAAAAAATGCTTCTGCGCATGCATAGAAACAAAACCAAGATGGTGCCACAATAGAATCAGTTTGGATGCGTGGGCAGCCGAGTTACTACCTACTTGGCCGAACCAGTAGGAACCCACCTGTAACTACCGTCCAGTTTCCAACCTCCCCTTCGTTGGGAAGGTTGTTGAGAAAGTGGTGGCCTCTCAGCTCCGGCGGTCCTTGGAT